TTTTGCCATTGGGTATACCTAAGTTTTAAGCATAGATTTATTTTCATCTGGACATCCAGACAACTCTTCTGTTTTGAGGTTGATTTTCATTTTGGATTGCAATGAAACTGAGACCTTTCCAAATACAAGGGAGATCAACAGTGACCCTATGGGATGGGAGAGATCCAGGTTTAAGTCTCTACTCCAAAGCAGACAAATCATGGATTTGAACCTGGGTCTCTCAAATCTCAGGTGAGTGGTCTAATCACCACACTACTGGCTATTCTGGGGTTGGGGGGTCAGGCTCTGTATCTCCCCATAGAAATGAAATTCCATCCTGGACCTGAGAAACCTTCCTGACAGAATTTTCATGAAAACTGATATGTTTCCATGAACTATTTTGGTTTCAATGGAAAAAAAAGTAGTTGAAATTTAGCTCTAGTCTGTGGAGAGGGCTCTGGTATGTTGCCATTCTTAGTGTCATTCTTATTATTGCCTCCAGTGAAAGAGGTACTTTAGTGTGCTCAGGGTGACTAACAAGGACAGTATTGTTAGGATGAATCCTGATATAATCCATCTTCTACGCCTGAAAAGTAAATCCCTGCAGTAAAATCCAGTTTCTATTAAAATTCCACATTTGCCCTGGAACTCAAAATTCTCATGAAAAGAATCTGTTTTCTCTCTTCTTGACCCAAGGAGTTCAGTCATCCTCTAGCCAACTATGTTTATTTTCCAGAATTAAATTCAACACTGTAGTTACGTTCCTGAAAAATGCTACTTTAAGTGAAACGATGTTAAGTGAATCCAATTTCCCCATAAGAATTAATGTAAATAGCGGGGGTTAGGTTCCAGGGAAATTTTTTTCGCCAGACAAAAGACTATATTTTATATGTATGTATATACACACACACATATACACAGTATAAGTTTTAAACAATTTAATACTGTACACAGCAATGATGATTGTGAAGCTTGGTTGAGGTAGTGGAGTCAGAGGTTGGAAGAGGGTGGGGTATTTCCCAGGGAATGCCTTACTGCTAATTGATGAACTAGCACTCGGCTGAGCCCTCAAGGGTTAACACGTTGTTAATGTAGCCTCACACTCTACAAGGCCGCACAAATGGAGGGAGGGGAGACAGCATGGCAGACAGATTCACACGCTTCGTGTGTGTGTGTGTGAGAGAGAGAGAGAGAGAGAGAGAGAGAGACAGGTGTTACCCCTTTAAGTACGCTGACCCCACTCTTTTTGCCTTTTTAAGTAGATCAGCAAGCTGAGACAGCAGCTGCTGCCAGCAAGCTCCCTCTGTCATGAGCCCTGTTGTGTCCTCCCCTGCTCTTGGAGATAGGGTACAGGAACGGGAGGAGGGGGACAGCCTGACATTAGCACCCTTCTTCCCCCCTGGCCCTGCACAGCAAGCAGGAGCTCCCAGGAGCAGCTCCAAGGCAGAGGGCAGGAGCAGCACATGGCAGTGGGGGGAGGGACAGCTAAACTGCCCAGCAATTGATAGCCTGCTGGGTAGCTATGCACAGGGAACTATATATACACCTCTACCCCGATATAACACGATCCAATATAACACGAATTTGGATATAACGTGGTAAAGCAGCGCTCTGGGGGGCGGGGCTGTGTGCTCTGGCGGATCAGCGCGTCACTGTGTCTGGCTCCGACATGCTGCTCTAAGCGGTGAATTAAGGGTGCTGGGCCAGGGCCGAGGGGTTGAATAAGGGGCAGAGGGTCTCGGGGGGCGGTCAGGGAGCAAGGGGAGTTGGATGGTTCTGGGGGCGGGGCGGTTAGGGGACAGGGAATGGGGGCGTTGGATAGGGCGTGAGAGTCCCGGGGGGCCTGTCAGGGGGAGGGTGTGTGGATAGGCGTCGGGGCAGTCGGGACAGGGAACAGGGAGATTGCGGGGGTGGGGTTCTGGGGGTGATTACGGACGGGGGGTCTCTGGAAGGGGCGTCAGGGGACAAGGAGCAGGGGGGCTTAGACGGGGGTGGGGTCTTGGGAGGGGTGGTTGGGGCGGGGGATCTCTGGAGGGGGTAGTCAGGGGACAAAGAGCGGAGGGGTTGGATGGGTCAGGGGTTCTGAGGGGTCAATCAGGGGGTGGGAAGTGACTATTAATAATGGAAATGCTCGAGGCTAAAGCAAGTTCGTTATAATGCAGTTTCATCTATAACGCGGTAAGATTTTTTTGGCTCCCGAGAACCGCGTTATATTGGGGTAGAGGTGTACATATATATACACACACACATATAGACAAACCCCATTCCATGTTATTGATGATGGACAAAAGTTTGTTATTTTGTTAATGATCCAAAAGATCAGATACATATCCAAAGTAGCCAAATCTAATGGCTCTGCAAACATGAGACTGGAAAATCTCAAAAACTGTGTTTCTCAAAATGTTTCAGCACTTTGGTGTCAAAGGGTTAAGGAGTGGGAAGTGTGATCTTGATTTGAATTGGTTCTTCCACTCCCCAGAGCTTGTATGAGTGTTTCAAAATATCCGTGGACACTGTTGAGTTGCAAGTATTTCTACATTTAGATTTGCATTCATATTTCTATGTGTATGAATAGATATATCTCTCTCACACACAGACACACAAATACTAGGGGTTTTTTGCTTAGTAAATGTTACAATTAGACATGCTGAATCTTGCATCAAAATTAAAGAACAATTGGGTGCCTCTAGCTGTGGATTTGAGGATTTCTATGTGCTTTTTACCATGTGAAAATAAGGAAAGGACTAGGTTGTGAATCTCTGACCTGACCTTTTAGATGAGTTAGTGAATGTAAAGACCTCAGTCCCAGGAGTCTTTGTATGGTGTGAACAGGAAGCACAAAGTGGTTGTGCTCCAGTGCAACTGTGAGTAGATGTCATATATGGGTGCAAGAACGGTTAATCAGTAAATGTCTACTACACTGAGCAGAAATAACACTCATTTCCCATTGTGCGATTATTCCCTTCCTCAGAAAGTATATAAAATAAAAAAGGGGCAGGGCAGAGAATGGCATGTCTGGATTACCTTTAACATTGATTTTTCCATATGAATGAGGAATTAATTAAACACTCTCCTCCCTGAACTCACCCTTTCTCCTGGCAATAACTTTGAGGCTGTCCAGCATTTGAGGCTCATTAGTGTAGTGTTGTGATTCCTTGCTTTCCTTTGTGCTCATTACTTTTTCCCATATGCTTTTAAATGCAAAGTACTCATGTGGAGTGTTGTCAGATGAAGTCCAAAGTTTGACAACCTTTTTTTTTAAAGTTTTGTGTGAAGAATCAACTGTTGTTTGAGCTTTTATGTATGTATAATTTTATAGCTCGCCCTTGGATCTTCTAGGCTGACACAGCATTGCTGTAATATTTTGGTCATGGTACATATCGACAGTGTGATTGAAAGAATATCATATAACAAAAAATCCAATTAGACTGCAGTTCAAATAAAAACGTAATATACTACAAAATCTGAATTGTTATAGAATCTGGAAGTTTAGTACAGTGCTTAACAGTGATAAAAATTAAACACACAGACAACAGAAACAGAGTGTGGCAGTGTGGATTAAAGAAACAACTATATTAGTTTTATTTAGAAGATGAATGAGGCCACTTTTGGACCCAGTCGGGCAAACACTTAAGTACATGCTTAATCTTATGCATGTGAATAATATCATTGACTTTAACATCAAGCTCATGCTTAAATATTGGTAAGATCGGGGCTTTGGATTCCTGTGCACAATTCAGTGTTGAAAGAACATCAAGTGTTCAAAAATCATGAGTCAAGCCCCACAATATCATGAGATTGACTTAAAAATCAGGAGGTTGTACAAGATAGTAAAATCAGAGTTCTGTTTGTTTGCTGTCTGTTTGTTTGCCGTCTGTAGGGATCACTTTTCAAAGATTTCCTCCATAATCACGAGGCCTAGAAACCTACTTTTGCTTTTTTAAATTAAGGCTGAAATCTTCCCATACTAATACGATTCAAGGAGCTGGAGATTTAAGAAGAACACCAAATAGTGCAAAACTCACAATCAAATCACAAGAGCTGGCAACACTGCAGTGTTGTTCCCCTTAGTTTGCAAGCGCTGTCTAAAAAGAAGTGGAAAATATGTGTGAGAGGTCATTTGGAATGCCACAGAGACTCCAGAATGAAGATGGAAAGAACAGGCCTCATTGGTTATACACCTTGTACTCATACTTTGCTACTGGACTATTGCTTAATATATTGTCTCTCTAGTTGGCACTACCTATACATGCAGACCGTATTTTTTTCATAAGAATGCCATTGTTTCCCTGCTCCAGTGGAGCCAGTGTAACACACAAAACATTGAAATGTCTGGACACTTATATTGCTATCTTCTTCATCACTGTGGTGTCTGTGCACCTGAAACAAGGGGTGTGAATTTATTGTAAGATAAGAAGGTATTTTATGTACTGTCTTAGTAGAGAGTGTATGCGTCAAATAAACTGCCAGGAGCAGCAATAGAAGATAACCGAATGAATAGTTGTAAAAAGGAGCTGGAGACACAAGTATTATTGTCACTGTGCAGCTAGAACTGATAGTTTGCAAATCTTCCACAGTGCAGTATGCATTTTGTTATCCTACCTATCGCTGGTTTAATCTGACCCTTCAGTTTATTTTTAAGAACTGTGTGTTTTTTTTAGCGCTTTTTTACAGTGACCAGAAGCTTAATGCTTAACTTTCTTTCTCTGAACTATTGCTTTGATTAAGGTATCATATAGCAGCAAACGTAAGAAATGAATACTGTAAAACTTATGCAACATGTTTGGTAACTTAAATGTAGTTAGCGCTTAATGCATGGCGAATACATGCCTCTGAATGCAGAGAGAACGGTTTTGTGTGTATTTTCCTCACAAGAGAGCATAAAGCTGTTTTCTGTGTGGTTGTCAGGGAGAGGCTTGTCTGGCTGGACTCTTCCTGGTTGTATTAGCATAACCCAGCCCACATTGAACATACGCCCAGTACTACCTCATTTTACCACTGGCCTGAGGCCAAAAGCAAAAGCACTACAGTGAATAGAAGGGAGGAAATTACAGAGAAGAGAATCATAAACTTACCTAAGAGTAGACCAAATTTCCAAAAAGAGAAGAAAATGTTATATTTAATATGAATAGTCTTTCCCTTTCAGACGGCTATTTACAAGGTTAAAAGCAAACCTACTTATCAAGTATATTGAATACAAGAGAACAGCTGCAGAATGTAAGTGCTTCTGTTCATCTCTTTCTATAGCTTTGAAACTGAAAACTCTCAGAAGAAGAACTGAAGACTGGCACTGAACAGGATAATTCTGCAGTGATAATTTGTTAAGAAGAAACTTTGGGGGAGATAAAGCATGGCAGGGGCAAAAAGGAGAAAGAAAAGTGTAGTGTGGAGGAAGATCCATGCTCTTCGCTATGAAGATATCAAACTGTGGTGTGTAAGAAGGCTGCCTATTTTGAAGTGGGCACCCAGTTACAATTTGAAGGAAAACTTGATTCCTGATACAGTCTCTGGGATGATGCTGGCAATTCAACAGGTACCTCAAGGTACAGTAATACATCTGATTTTTGACATTTTAAGTAGCTTTAGTCAGACCATTGTCACTTTTCAGTAGAGTTTTTATTTTTGCTTCTTAGTGTTACAATGAAGCATGGGTTAAAAAAAAACTACAAAAAAGAATTGTACATTTGAATTAGACCCAATCTAATGGGATGTGTAGGAGAGAGTTTTTTACATCCCTCACTTTTTATACATCGTAAACGAACATCTTTTCTTGTTTTTGACCAAGGTCTGTGAACAGGGGATTAATGTTACTATGTACCTATCACTTTGACAGTAACACAAGACATATTGCAGCGTATGAGAGAGCAGTGACACAAGGATGAATGCCGGTGTTATGCAATGTATACCAGTGTAACTGGCCATCACTTCCCACTTTCAAATCAGGAGCAAACAAAGAGCTACAAAATAACTTTGTGTCTTGAAATGTTGTTTTGTTTTAGAAGTAAGCATCAATATTACACAATTACCTGTAGGAGCCTTGAGAACTGCAATAAACAAGTCACAAAACATTGCATATATAAAAAAGGCTCTCTGCCAAAGATATTAACTGCAGACAGGATCCTGTATTCATGGAGAGCTTGTGATTTCAGTGTGTATGTTGGTCTAATGAGATGTACTTTATCACATTACCTATTGCATCTCCCTTTCCAGCACTAATATAAACTAAGGGTGGAGTTGTAGTCTATTTTGGTAGCCATAGGTAAGTAATGCCAATCTGGATTTATCTGGTGATTTTACAGGTGAAAAGTACAAACTAATGAATGATTCCAGAGAAATAAAGTCTTCTATCTATCTAACATCATTGTGCCCGGCCTTAGGCAACACTTTATACCTGTCTCTGGTAAATGCCATGTTATTTTCTTGCCTGCCCAAAATGGACTCTCTAGCTACTTCTCTGATGCACAGTATAGATGTTATTTCTTTACAATGTCGCAGAATGGCTAGCCTTAACTATCATTCATGCTGCTCAATTATAAGCACTTCTTTAATTGAATTATTCTGTAGCTGGAACCAACCGGTTTGTGTAAGTATTTGTGCTTTTAGGGTAATTAGGAACATCTGCATTGGCATGATTTAACTTTAAGAACCTTAATACTGTAAAAGAACAGGAGTATTTGTACTATAAGTATCTAATTTCACTGGTATAGTCTTATACAATTGTAATGAAAATGCTGCTAATAACAATATGTTAAACTCCAAAAAAAAAAAAAATCAAATTAGGGACAATTATACATTACTAGTAGTTTTATCCAGCATTATCTTAATTGAATCTGGTTCCCAAATATGATTTAACTTACAAAGTAAAATTTTAAAAAGCTCAGGTGATGCTGGAAAAATGCTGCATTTCCAGATTATTCCATCTTGATGGTTATGTAATCTAGAAAGAATGTGATACAACTTTAAATTAATCCTGTTGCTTAAAACCAACAAACAAAAAACCTCAAACTTCATCCTCCCCATACAAAACAAAACAACTCACAAATAAAATCTGAGAATAAATTGTCTTTCTTTTTTGACATCAAAGGTGTCCATTTTGCTTGAAACTATTTTGAGTGTGTGTGTGTGTGAGAGAGAGAGAGGGGGAGAGAGAGAGAGAGAGAAATATATTTTCAGACTTTTTGCACCCAGTCTTCTCATAGCATTGCATCTCTTGTCTGGTACTGGGGCTATACTTTAACATTAATCAGAGATTAGGAATAGACAGAAAAAAAGAACCAATCCAGTTTGCTGTATAGCATGAAGAAGAAGAAAGTACAAATCTTGTAAGCCTTATGTGCATGGGGTTCTTTTCTTATAATACAAGAACAAAGAGTTATTTGGTGAAAATGAAAGCAACAAATTTAAAATGGTTAAAAGCAATTAAATTTATAAGCAACTGATAATTGACAGATGGAACTCACTGCCACAAGATATTGAGGCTAAAAGCCTAGTGTGATTCAAAAAAGGATGAGCTATTTATATGGATATTGAGATTATCCTGCAGTTATTTTAGATGGGATAAAATATTTTTAAGGGTTAGATGCCCTCAAGTTTCAGGGCATAAATCAACCACTAGCTTGACAATTGTCCACGATGGGAATTTTTGTGCCTTTCTTCTAAATCATTGGATGTGGCCTTGTTCAGAGACAAGATACTAGACTAGAGGGAGGACTGTTCTTATCCGGTATGACTGTTCCTGAGTTCCTATGTCTGAACAAAATGTCAGGCAACATGGCCATTATCTCTTTGTTAGGGGTAGGAGAATAAGAAGAAAGGAAGTCATTGTCCTTGCATCATGTTCCACAGCTCAAACCACAAAGATAATGCTCAGAGTTAAGGCTATGATTTAGTCATGGGTATTTATTGTATAAGTCATGAACAGGGCAGTAAACAAAAATTCATGGCCCTGTCACCTGTCCATGACTTATACTATAAATACCCCTGACTAAATCTCGGGCGGGGGGGGGAGTACCGGGGGGAACTGCTGGGGCAGTGTGCGGCACTGCTGAGGGGTGGAGACTGGGGGGCTGCTGCTGGGGGGGGGAGGCCCGGGGCCGGCAGCACTAGCTGCCGGGGGCTGCTGAGCAGTGGCAGCTCTGGCCGCCCAGGAACTGCTGCCCAGGGCCACCTGAGCAGAGGCAGTGTGGCTGGCCCCGGAGCTGCTCCAGCAGCAGCTGGTGCAGCTGGCTGCAGGGCTGCCCAAGCGGCTGGCTGCAGAGCTGCTCCAGCAAAGGCAGGTGTGGTTGTCCCTGGGGTCATCTGAGCAGCGGGCCCCAGAGCCAGCTGCTTGGGCAGACCTGGGATCAGCCACCACTGGTAGCTGCAGAAGTCCGTGACAGACACGGAGCCCTACTCGTAGTGAGTTATTCTTCCTACAGTATTTTGAAACCATTTGGATAGAGTTGCAATTCAATAGCAATTTTTGCTATTGCTATCTGCTTTATATAAAAGTATAAACTTAGGAGCAAGGAAAGAGAGAGAACAACAATTAACAGGTGCAGATAATGTGTGTGCTTTGATAGCGGCCATTGTAGAGACAGTAAAATGTCCATCTCTGTGCATTTAATAGAGGACCAGAAGCAAAAAGACATTCCCCCCCTGCCAAAAACAAACAAACAAACAAACCAACAACAAAAAACCCAACTGACCCTTCAATCCACAGAGCAATCATCTTTCATGTCCTCTGTATATTTGATGCTTTTTACTTTAGGTAGGATTTTAAGAGCTACAATCTAAATTTCAAACTACCCAGTGATTTTCGAGTGTCTCATTTTTGGGTGCCCAAATGAACCAGCTTATAGGTGACTGATATTCAGAGGGCAGGTACCCTGCATACTTCCCAAAGATCAGGCTGCGTTAAGGTGTGTGAAGCTGGGCACTTGAAAGTGAGGCACCAGGACTCATAGATCACTTTGGAAAACTGTAGGCCTAAAATTTTCTCATAGACCATACTGATTGCACTGTGTGTGTTTGTGTTTATATAGGGAGTTGTAGGGGGTAACATCCAGAACTTAGAAAGAAATTACTTAGAGAAAGTTTTTTCCACTTAATTTTGGTTTGGTTTACATTTTCGTGTTTTGTGGAAGAGGTGAGTTTTAGGAGCAACTTAAATTCAGTGGGAGATGGCTTGGCAAATTGGGATAAGGAGAGTGTTTTATACATAGGGGTGGCATCAAAAAAGGCACTAATAAGGCCTCAGAACTCATATCACTGACTTTACATTGTCTGCTCTCTGGCTTCCTCTGGGTGGATGGGATTCATCAAAGGCAGAGCCAGAGCATAATATGTTCTGGCAGTTCTGGCCCAGTGGAATAGTTCCTAAGAGATTGTTCCAGATAGTTTGTACCTTGGGGAAGTTTTAACCTAAGCTGGTAAAAATAAGCTTAGGGGGTTTTTCATGCAGGTCCCCACATCTGTACCCTAGAGTTCAGAGTGGGGAAGGAACCTAGACAAGTGTGAAAACAACAAATAGTTTGTACCTTGGGGAAGTTTTAACCTAAGCTGGTAAAAATAAGCTTAGGGGGTTTTTCATGCAGGTCCCCACATCTGTACCCTAGAGTTCAGAGTGGGGAAGGAACCTAGACAAGTGTGAAAACAACAAATATCACCCTTGTTGTCAAAGGAGATTAAGACATATGATTGGATGTCTAATGGTGTTATCTCATCCGTACTCTCTCTCAAAGATCTCCAACAGGCAACATATAGTACTGAAAATCATCATACTCAAGACCTATCCTTAAGGGAATATGTAATCTCTGCAAAGAATTTATCATCTAAGCTTGTTGCTTCAAGTAATGATGGAATCAGTTCAGAACATTTCCAGTCATGCTCTACCAATCTTCCAGCCGATGAAACAAAATCCATATGATCAGCAACTTTAAATGCCACTGTTAGACCCAATACTGCCAGCAAGGACAGGTATCCTGTGGCTATTGTGGCATACATATTGATCATTAGTGGCTGAGGAGGGCCAACTCAGCATATGTAATTTCCTAAAGACAGAGAGATTTTTATCCTATAGATCAGTGCTAGCCACAGGACACACTCGGCGATCACTACCACCTTCCCCAGTACTGTGGCCCAAACTGTCAGATCTTAATTCACCACTTGCAGAGAGGTTGAGTGAGAATTTTTAAGAACATAGGCTTCACCTCCACTTTTTTCAGAGCATGGAATCATCTCTGTCTTATTCTGCTATCTCCACTATGGTTCAAAAAAGAGATATAATTGCTTTTAAAATAAACTGTCAAGAAAGGATCTGAATCCCAGGCTGTGGGATGAAGCCCATCACCTTAGCTCTAAGTCTGAATTGGCCTGAAATTCTCTCAGAAAGCCAAGGAACTTGAGACTTCATGATCTGGAAATAGGTCCTTAATTTGGCAATGTTTCTCAAAAATCTGGTACTCAAAATCTAGACAATAGATCATACTTCTCTACCAATGTCATATCCACTGATTGCTGACAATCCAGGTGGCTAAAACTGTCAAGAAAACTAAGGAGGGAT